TCTCTCTTTCTCTCTCTCTCTCTCTTCTCTCTCTCACACACACACTCTCTTCACTCTTCTCACTCTCTCACTCTCTCACTCTCTCATTCTCTCACTCTCTGCAACTCTCTCTCTCTCTCGCTCTCGGCTCTCACTCTCGCCTCTCTCTCTCGCTCTCTCTCTCTCTCCGCCTCTCTCTCTCTCGCTCTCTCTCTCGCCCTCTCGGCTCTCGCTCTCTCTCGCTGCCTCATCTCTCTCGCTCGCTCTCTCTTCGCTCTGTCTCGCTCGATCTCTCGCTCTCTCTCTCTCTCGCGCTCTCTCTCTCTCTCGCATTTCTCTCCGCGCTCTCTCTCTTCTCTCGCTCTCTCGCTCTCTCGCTCTCGCTCTCGCTCTCTCTCGCTCTCTTCTCTCGCTCGCTCTCGCGACTCTAACTTCGCTCGATCTCTCGCTCGCTCTCTCGCTCTCTCTCTCGTCCTCTCTCTCCTCTCGCTCTCTCTCGCTCTCTCCTCGCGCTCTCTCTCTCTCGCTCTCTCTCTCTCCCTCTCTTCCTCCCTCTCTCGCTCGCTCTCTCGCTCGCTCTCTCGCTCTCTCTCTCTCTCGCTCTCTCTCGCTCTCTCTCTCTCGCTCATCTCTCCCTCTCTCTCCCTCTCTCGTCCCTCTCTCTCCCTTCTCTCTCTCGCTCTCTCTCGCTCTCTCTGCTCCGCTCTCGCCTCTCTCTCTCTCTCGCTCTACTCTCTCTCTCTCTCTCTCTCTCTCTCGCCTCTCTCCGGCTCTCTCTCGCTCGCGCTCGCTCGCTCTCTCTCGCTCTCGCTCGCCTCTCTCTCGCTCTCGCTCGCTCTCGCTTCTCTCGCTCTCGCTCGCCTCGCTCGCTCTCCTTCTCCTCGCTCGCCTCGCCTCTCTCTCGCTACGCTCTCGCTCTCTCTCGCTCTCTCTCTCGCTCGCTCTCTCGCTTCACTCGCTCGCTCTCTCGCTCGCTCTCTCGCTCGCTCTCTCGCTCTTTCGCTTCTTCTGCTCTCTCTCGCTTCTCTCTCCGTCTCTCTGCTCCGCTCCTCTCTCGCTCTCGCTCGTCTCTCTCTCCCCCCCCGGTCTCTCTCGCTCGCCTCTCGCTCTGCTCTCGCTCTCTCTCTCGCTTCGCCTCTCTCGTCTTCTCTCGCTCGCTCTCTCCGCTCTCTTCGCCCTCTTCGCTCTCTCGCTCGCTCTCTTCGCTCCGCTCTCTCGCTCTTTCGCTCTCTCTCCGCTCTCTCTCTCGCCGCTCTCGACTGCTCCTTCTCTCGCTCTCTCTCGCTCTCTCTTCTCGCTCTCTTCTCGCTCTCCTCGTCTCACTCCCTCTCTCAATCTCTCTCTCACCAATCTCACTTCACTCTCAACTCTCTCACTTTTTCTCTCCCTCCCCCCCTCTCTCTCCCCCCCCCTTTTCTCTCCCCCTCTTTCCATCCCCCCCTCTCTCTTTCTACCACCCTGTATCCCCTTCTCTATCACCCAAGAAAACAATTTTTCAGCATTTCAAATTATTTTTTTATGGAAGTCTTTTTTGATATATGAATTTAGATTGTTAAATTATGATTACAAATGACTTTTGATGCTTATTTAATTAGTTCAAACATTTGGAGCCAAAGAATACAATTAGGGTTTGCAACAAATCTAATCTCAATCTTCAAAGAGGCAGGGGCATGTCATCATATTTGAATAAGTCTGTCATGAGGGAGCCAGAGGCATTCAGTATGTATCACTCTGATTTAATTTAATTATTGGTACATTGAAGTAAAACAAATTTATAGAAGAAATGGATTTTATTTTCTTCCAGTCGATGGACTGTAATTGAAACTTTTCAGACATTGAAAACTCATGGGTGGTTTTTTTTTTTCCCCAGTTTTTTATTTTCTTTTGGAAATTTCCAATTTTTTTTCCAATTTCATCATTTTTTTAAAAAGGGGGAAAATGGAGTCTTGGGGCTTGCCACCATTGGACATTCTGTCTCTGCTAGCTTCTTCATCTCAGCATAGTTTTGAAGTTGTAATTCGGTGTTTGAAGTTGTTTTTAAAATCCTTATCTCCTTTTACCAAACTACTTTACAGTCTGGAAATTGTGCTTAAGAATTTGTTATGCTGAGTTATTATGTCCAAAAGAATATTTGCTTTCCGGTTCCAAATAGTTTTTAGTAGGGATCTCTTCTCTTTCACTTTTCTAAAATTCCATTGCTTTGATTATTTTTTTCATTCAGGAAACCTATAATATTTTTTGCCTCAACCACATCTCACGAGCTTTCTAAATGACTCCTGTCTGTTTGTAAAAGCGTTTACCCTTCACATCCATATCATAAGACACATTCAGATATAACTTTTCCAGAAATTTCTTTCTTGATATCCCAAAATTTATTTGTATTTTGTGAGCAAATTTATTTTATTTTAGGGAACAGACTGTCTTTGTTAGTGTAATTTGCTTTCTTATTTCGTGTTGTGTTTTTATTGTCTTTGGTGAAAGTGCCACCTAAAAATAGCAAAAATTATGTACATGTTATTATTTCTGTTGTATTTTAACATTTTTTATTTGATGATTAGCTTTTTCTCTTTTCCAAAATATTCATGAATTTAGATTTCATGATAGTTTGGGATAAGAGAAACTTTTACAGGAATTTCTTGCAGGCTATTTTATCATTTTCTGTAAAATCTTTTCTTGATTTAGCTAACATTGCTATATATCATCAGATACCTTAAACAGTGTTATTCCTAAAAACCAAGTTAAATTTTATGGAGCCTTTGTTTTTTCCTTTAAATCTATTGAATTTGCTTCTTCGTTAAGCAAGTGAATTTAGAATTGGGGTGAAAGTGAACATCCTTGTCTTATCCAGTTCGGATCTTTGCTTTGGTTTTTGCAATTGATTTTTATGGAAATGCAGGAAAATTCCTCAGTTCCTTCTAGTCTAAGGTGGTACGTCTTTCATACCTAAAATAGTTATTTCCCGGGGAAACCTTGCTTTGAAAGCATTCTCCAAGTCATGGAGTGGTAACATATGTAGGCCCTGCTTCATATCCATTTTTCTGTCTAAGATGCCCCTGAGTGCACATAATAGGGTTACATTCTCGTACTTGTTTCCTGACTAAATTTCCAAATTGATCTTCCTCAATTTTAGTTCCAGTTTTTGATTATTGTGATGAGAATTTTGTCAGCATTAATTGTTCTATTAATTTTCATATGAAATTCCATATTTCCTTTTTTATGTATGTAATTGATTTTTGAAATCTTTCAGGTATTTGACCAGCCTTTTGATAAATGTTTGTCATTAGTTACAGGGGCCTATGATTATTTTTTATTGGCTTGGTGTTATAAATGACTATTGCTACCAATTGTATTTTTCTAGTGAAGCGTTGACATAAGTCAGTTTCTGAGTAAAACATACAAAATGTTATTAGAGTTTTGAGTGTATTTATAGTATTTCTTTCTGCTTCTTGTTTAGGCAACACTGACATTGATAAATTACTAGATGTCAGGATACATTGCATTACAATAAACTTTGCAAAAAATTATTAAAAATTACATGTGAAAGATAAAATTCAATTACAAAAAATTTCCACACACACCCGTATGTAGATCAGTTGTCTGATTAAGAAAAAAAATGTAAATTTTTCAGTTCTAGAGGATAATATTACATCAAGATGGTTAGGGTGTATAGTTATATTTTGTGATGGAAACAAACAATAACTATTCCACCAACAGTTTGTTGTGTATTAAGTCACCTCTTAAGATTGTATGGATTCACAATTTTCATTCAGTTAAGAAAAATTAAAGAATATTTATAAATATTTCACTAGAATTGTGTCAGTATTAATAAAATAATTCATAGAATGCGAAAATGTATTAATTATTTTATATTTTTATTTCTTGTGACAGTGCATGCATGTCATAGTACAGTATAGTACAATGCTAAGTCATATATAGGTATAGGTATATTGGTTCCCTAATGTAAGTCTGTAATATCCTCTCTACATACAGTAAGGAAAGATTGAGGATTGTTCCTTTTGATTAGAAACCATGGACAAAAAACCTCCATAAGTAAGTTATTACTGCTATTACATTAGTCCACAAGTAATCTTTTTCTATATCATAATCAATAAAATGAGATCGTTTGAAAGCTTCTATATTTTTATTAATCTCATCACTGTAGCATGGGTTTTTCGAAGCAACTGAAAAGTTGGGTTTCCAGTGGTAAATTCCATTTTCATGTATTGATACAATAATTTTGATGATTTACAAACCCACATTATTTACATGTGTTTTGGAGATTGCAATTTTTAACAAGAATCTTAGGGGGCTCTTCTGTTACATTTTGGGGTCTTCTCTGTCCTTGGATAGTAAAACTAATCTGAAACGTCCTGTTTCATCCAGCAGTGGTGGCAGTGCACTTTGTGCCTCTGTAATATTTAGAGAATTTTAATAAGTTTAATTTTTAAATTAAATTAAATTTTTGAATTCTTCCAGTTTAATTTCCATATTACAAAGTCAGAAACCAAGTAGTGAACGTTGTGAAGGAACTTTTTGTGTGAAACTGAGGAAAACATTTGATGGCACATCTGGGAGAACATGTAAGGGACATTGGAAAAATATTGAGGCACCTGTGAACAACATATGATGAAACATGGAAGATCATATGGCGGAACATGCAGAGGGTGCCCACTGGAAACATGTCTAGATTTTCATTTTTATGTTAAATGCTTTAACATTGATCCACTTATGGCAGCTTAGAAACTAGATACTTATGAACAAATCTACATCTATTTGTCTTACTTTCTCTAAACTTATGTCTAACACCCCTACACTATTTACTTTACTTACACTGTGCCAACGTTATTCACAGTTTGAATGTTCCAGGCACTTCGGTGGTTCCTCATTTTCAGATTTATTACTTACTATAATCATTTACATTTGGTTTTTTTCCTGGTTGACTATGTTAGAGTCATTGTAAGAACACAATGAGAGCAAT